AAACAAAAAAAACAAACATTGGGGAAAGGAATACACTCCAAAGCACAGATGATCCGTTTCGCCCGTTATCGCAGACGAATCATCGATGTCTTACCAACCCCCGGGCTCTCAGTGCGACAGGGTTGACGACATGGACATGGACTACATAGGGGAAGGAGTTAAGGAATAGGATAAAACGAAAAAAATGTAAAAAAAGTTGACATGCAAAATTCATGCAATAAAGATGAGAAGGAATTGTACAGGAAAAATGAAAGAAGGATATAACAGGAGTGAGTACTAAATACTTGTAAGAGGAAGAAAAATGGTTTGTTGTAGATGGGCTAAACGAGCTAAGGGAATATTGAGTAAAGGACACTGTCAAACATGGGGTATTGCCATTAAACTGTGCGAAATGGATTTCTTTTTTTCAGAAAAACGGCGAATGTCAGGTTAAGAGTGAGAACGGCGATATGGCAACGGTGGACTGCTCTGTGGCAAATGCCACGACAACTGACCTTGACGGCCTTTTCGGTAAGTTTGTGAATAACTTAAAATTCAAATATTCACTGTCCCATACCTTCAGTTCTCACCCCTCAGGGATAATTTCGTCCTTCAATTTATCATCATGAATATCGTATTCACTACGCCAAAGAATTCTTATGTTGAAGGTAACGGTACCGACGGAAATGCCACAATGCACTGCTCGAAGTCTGAATTCGGTTGTTGTCCGGATTGGGTCACACCTGCCGAAGGAAAAAATAACGCCGGATGTCCAACATTCACGCTTGGTAAATCCTTTCCACTTATATAAAGGCTGTGTTCATACCTTTACGATGAAAGCAGATGTTCTCGGGGAGAACTGTCAATTTCCCCAAAAAATTTCGCAATTGGGCTTACCGTGTGAGATCAAACTGTGGTGATAGAATTAGTTAGAGTGAATGTTTCAGTTTTTGGTGCGTAGCAAGCAATAAGATCTTTTTAGGATCGTGTAACGAAACGGAATACGGTTGCTGTCACGATGATGTCACCTTGGCGCGTGGACCAAATCTCGAAGGATGTGGTGAGCCAATATGGCTGGATTCTCGGTAGGGATGTTTGGTGAGGTAGGTGCTGGTGAAGTCCATGTCGAGTGGTGGCCACACTTACCGGCTGGAATTTGAAAGGTCTGTCTATGTATTGTAGCATAGATCGCTCTCGTTGGAAGTGGCCCGTTGTCTGTGCTGGCACCGGGTACACGGATTACATTTCGGAATCATGAGAGCCACAGGTGGAGTGCATAATGAGCAGAATCCACCAATACAGCGGCATGGAGAGTCGTGCTTTGATCATTCGGAGCAGGGGGGATGTTTTAGTGGGGACTAGAAGGTGAGATGGCCGGCTCAGGCGCCCCCGTCGAACCGCCGTTCCGCGCCAGTCACTTCCCTGCCTGGGTGGGCGTGCGGTGCGACTTCGGGGAAATAGTTTTAGAGCCGCTATTTTCACTTTCGTAGAAGGGCTGGGAGATAGTTTCAAGAGCAGCTATTTTTCACTGGTAGAGGGCTTATATGGAGCGGCATGTGGGTTTATTTGAGAGGTTCAAGAGGAAATGAGAAAGTATTTTTGAACCATATTTCATCCCCTTTTTACCTTGCTGCATCTTTACACTGACTGTACCGCAACTCCCACTTTGGCTTGCTCAGGCAGGATGCTGCAGAACACTGTGCCTTTTTCAGCTTACACTGGAACAAATGGATTCGCGAGTATTAGGTCCTTTCTAACAATGATCATTTTATCCTCTTTTCTTCCAGGAGGAATAACCTCGTTGAAATCAAATGGCATTACGGATCGTCCAATTATAGATACCTTTATTCAGGTCGTCATTCCCTTGCGAACTGTCTGAATTTGGATGCTGCGCAGACGGTGAAACGGCCGCACTTGGAGCAAATGGTACTGGATGCGGAGAGAATTGCCTGACGACGAAGTGAGTTGGAAAAATCAAAATATTTGGAAAAGTTAATGGCAGTGCCCACTCCGTTCAGGTATGGCTGCTGTCCTGATGGTAAAAGCACGGCAAAAGGACATCATAATGAAGGATGTGGATGCGTATATGCGCAATATGGATGTTGTCCAGATGGAAAGACTTCTGCCAAAGGAGCTGGATTCTATGGATGCCCTGATAGCTGTGCACAGAGTAGGTCTTGTAAGCAGAGCGATCTTTAGGACAGGCCTATTCAAATCCATTTTCAGGCCAGTTTGGATGTTGTCCTGATGGTAAGACACCTGCTCGAGGATCTCATAAAGAAGGATGTCCGTGCCAATATACTCGTTATGGATGCTGTCCCGACGGAGAAACCACGGCTCTTGGACCAAGAAACGATGGTTGTGATGACTGTAGATATGCTAAGTGAGTTCATATTTTCTATCGCCTCATTCTTTCTTTTCATCACACGCTTGGCAAGCTGGCTGGTTATTGTAGAAACAATAGGTGGTGGGTACTCGTAGTGAAGCAGGGCTGAATGGGTTTCAGTTCTGAGTTTTCAGTTAAGCATGGTGAGAAGTATTTCGTTTCCTAGATAGTATATCAAAAGTTCTCAATTCCTTTCTAACCATTAGTGGTGAAAAGTTCAGCACATATCATTACAGGTACGGTTGCTGTCCGGACGGCGAAAGCAAGGCAATCGGTCCCGACTACGCCGGTTGCCCATCAACAACACTGGCACCCTTCTTGCTTGGTGGCACTGTGGCACCGTCGAAAATTTCGTCATGTGCCTTGCCTCAGGATCAAGGAACCGTTTGCTCGTCCGGGTATAAACTTGTGAGTTACTGATTCTCTTCACTCAGGGGCATTTTTTTAGAACTATTCAAAAAATTAACACATTTCCCTTTCCTCTTTCTTAAAAGCACAGTCTACGTTTGTCGGATAGACTCTAACATTGAGCTCGCTCATTGTTGCGACCAGTCATGCTTAAAGGCGTTTAGCAGTATGGGTTTTGGTGGCTCGGGCCTAAAACTGCTAGTAGGGCGCTAATAGTGGGAAAATGGCAGAGAACGCGGAGTGAAGGCTCAAAATTCGTGCGAAGAAAGAGCTCGCGGTCTGCAGTATATTGAAACGCCATTTCAGGCGATCTCGTGACATTTTGCAATAAACGCTAACTGAGGTAGGGCTGCATAGTGAGTAATGATGTAATCCGTGAGCAGACGCGCCGCTTTATACCAGTCATTTGCTTGCATAACTTGCTTAGTCAAATGAATCGATTACAGCATAGGAACGGTGGTCCATTTGGTGGGCGGACAGGTGGCGGTGGAGCATTGTGGTTGATAAGGGTGCTATATGAGGCAACCATCTAATCCATTGGAAAAAACATTATCAGTGCTTTGCTCAGGGTCCGAATTCGCGTCCTGCCAGGCGTATTAATCCTACTCGTTTTGGGGGATTTATCGTGCCAACTGCCTTAAAAAGGCAGAGGAGAGGGGCACGCCAGTAAGGAAGGCACAACGGTAGGCTTGAAGGCTTGTCTGCTTCTATGAGTGTGGACTCTGCATTTTAGTTTGGTAATTGTAATGAAACCGTGATGAGAAACTTGTCTTCAGGTGTGGTACTATGATACGGCAGAAGGACGTTGCTCACAGTTTTGGTATGGAGGATGTGACGGTAACGACAATCGCTTTGCCACTAAAGAGCAGTGTGAGACGATCTGTGTAGAACCGCCCGGAATCGGTGAGCTAAATTTCTAGCCATTCTCAAATGATTTTGAAACTCACTACCACAGCTCTAGCACCATTAGGCTACAGCTATTCTGCAACTCTTGGAAGGGTCACTCCGGGTATGTTGTAGAAGCAGAGCAAGAACTACTATGGCTCTTTCACGCGCGCCTTTTCCCCACCGTTTCAGAAGTGAGAGGTGCACCAAGGCGAAGGGCGGCTGCACCCATACGCATGTCAAATGTGCCCTTAACCCCCCCTTCCCTGACCTTATTTTGTGGCTTTACATTTCTAATTTGAATGTAGAAAATCTTCCCGATTTTCTAAAAGGTGCTTGACTGTGGAGCGCTTCTGAAAATAAAAAGATAGTTATCAGTGTTCATTGCAGGAAGGTGCTACTTGCCTA